CCTTTCAGCTGCTGTACCTCATCTCATGGCCATGCTGCTTGCACCTGAGGGAGACCCGGATGCACCAGACATCCCGACCCCGCGCTCTTACGCAGAGGCGATTACGGGTCCCTACTCCTCTTAGTGGCCGACAGCCATGGACGCAAAGATGGCATCCTGGAAGTCCACAGGCACCTACGTCGACGCAGTTCCCCCTTCTGGGTCGAACATAGTCGATGGCATGTGGATTTTCAGGGTGAAGCGGCCGCCGGGTTCTCTGCCTGTCTTCAAGGCTCGTTACGTTGCACGAGGCTTCAGTCAGCGACAGGGAGTTGACTTCTTCCAGACCTTCTCGCCAACCCCGAAGATGACCACTCTTCGGGTTCTGCTGCACGTCGCCGCTCAGCGTGACTACGAGCTGCACTCTCTTGACTTCAGCACAACTTTCTTACAGGGCAGCCTGCACGAGGAGATCTGGCTGCGCCGCCCACCTGGCTTCACTGGGTCATTTCATGCATGCACCCAGTGGATCCTCCGACGGCCAGTCTACGATCTCCGCCAGGCGCCTCGCGAGTGGAACGACAAACTGAGGACGACGCTTGCGGCTCTTGGGTTTGCTCCTTCGACTACTGACCCGTCGCTGTTTCTGCGCACCGACACTACGCTGCCGCCGTTTTACGTCTTCGTGTACGTCAACGACTTGGTTTTTGCCACTGCTGACACTGAGGCACTGGCCCTTGTGAAGTCGGGGCTGCAGAAGAGACACACCTGCACTGACCTGGGTGAGCTGCGCGACTATCTTGGCTTGCAGATCACCCAGGACAGAGCACAGTGCACCATCACCCTGACTCATTCACACATGGTGCACCAGGTCCTTCAGCGCTTCGGCTTCTGGTACTCCTCGCCGCAGTCCACTCCTCTGTTTCTTGGCAGTCTACCCGCTCGTCTTCTGTTCTCAGTTCCAGTTGTGAGGTTGAGATCTACGTAGGGGTCATGGCTGCATTGGAGTTACACTGGCTCACCTACCTACTGACCGACTTGGGAGAGCGGCCTCGTTCTTCTCTCATTCAGTATTCTGACAGTGCCAAGCCATGAAATCGACACGTCAACGGCCAGCTGGGTTGCTGCAACGCCTCGAGCCACCCGAACGACCGTGGCAACAAGTGACAATGGATTTCGTCACAGGAATACCAGCTGGGCCGTCCGCAACGACGATGTTCTCGTCGTCATCGATCGTCTCACGAAAATGGCGCACTTCGCGCCGTGTCGTACCATAATCACAACCGAAGAAACTGCGCGCCTCTTCATCTCAACGGTCGTGCGACTGCACGGATTTCCCTCGGCGATCATCAGCGACCGAGATCCGAAGTTCTCGTCAAAATTTTGGACGGAAGAGTGGGCGCAGTACGGCACGAAGCTACAGTTCTCCTCGGCATACCACCCGCAAACGGACGGCCAGACCGAGCGGACCAATCAGACCATGGAGCACCTGATAAGGACGAACTGCCCCGACCCTGCTCGCTGGGAAGACTCGCTCGCCATGTTGGAGTTTGCCTTCAAGAATGCCCTGTCCAGCACGACTAATCACTCCCCGTTCTTCTTAATTTACGGGATGGACTCGATGGTGCCTACGACAATTACACTCAACAATCCGGTCCCGCGGTCACAAACATTTGTGACGGAACTACCGGAAGTTCGCGAGAAAGCTGCGGACACAATTCGCAAGGCGAATACCACTTCCCGCAAATACACCGACCTTTTACGACGGAAACTCGTCTTGGCAGCTGGGCAACTAGTGCTACTCGACACGAAGAACCTTCACCTGCCCGGCCCATCGAAATTACGGCCACGATTTTGTGGGCCTTTCAAGATAATCAAGATGGTGACACTTGTCACCGCGAAGCTGCTGCTATCCGACGATCGGCGTATACATGACGCCTTCCACGTCAACTTACTTCGCAGGTTCGTGCCAGCCACGACAGACATCGCACGACAACAGGCTGCACCGACGGCACGTCCGGTACCAGAACCGACACTCGACCCGTCCAAAGTATTGGCGCATCGTATACGACTGGACGCCGCTGGTCGCCACATGGATGTTCTCATCCGTTGGACTGACCGCACCAGTGAAGACGATACGTGGGTGTCATCCGCCTCGCTTGAAGACTCTCCGCTTATTGGTGATTATCTCGCCCGCATGCGAGCTGCGGATATTGACCACCTTTCTTAAGGGGGGGGAGGGGGGAGGGTAGTGTAATGAATTTTCTCGAATTCCTTATCGGGGTTGACTGCTTCGTTAATCTGCGCACTCTCCTTAAAACCCGCAGGCCAAGAATTTCAACCTTAGGAAGGTTGGTTGGGAGTGAAAACGCAAAAGGCCTGCGAATCAATAGGACTGTCCGAAATGTTGGACGAGGTCTAGAATTCGGGAATGATCACAAGCATTTTTGGGACATCCAACCAACGCTAGGAAGGATGAACCAAATTTGGCCTTCTTGGCCTGCGGGTTTTAACAACTCAAACAAGCAAGCCAACAGCGAGGTCCTTTGGAATATCCCAGTGGCCCCGGGCAGAAGAAAACTAAAACGACATGCTGCCCCGGGCAGAAGAAAACTAAAACCCTCTCGGATGGCATGCCATCCGAGGGAGGCATCAACCCTAAATCCATGCCTCCCTGTGTTTAGGGTTGATGCCTCCCTGACCGGATGCATGCCCGAATCGGTTTTATTTTGTTTGCCTCGCTTGTCCGCTGAGATATATTCGGAGGATCATATCATTGGATTATCGGAGTCAGAGTGCTTGCTCTGCTGCCGAACACCTCACTAGCATCACCCCCCTTGCTGCCGTTTATGGCTGAGATAGTGTCCACGCGTTCGTCGAATCGAGCTCTCCACTCCAACCCAAGTTCCTATGTCCGTCAGTCAGAAGCACCACCTCTTCTATTCTAAGATAACCTTTTCTCCTCGGAATCTCGACGTCTTCGAGTTGCCACACCTCTCAGACCCTTTCAATGGTTGACAGTAAAGGTCCTGCTTCTAGCTATCAGCCGCATTACTACCAGCCCGTGATTAGTCTAATGGAGGAGCAAACGGAGCGGCTAAGTGGTGGTAAGGCTGGCAAGTGGTCGAGATCGACTGGAGCACATAGCGGCCTCTCAGATTCTCGCGCTACTGCTTCCGACATTTCCCGGGTTTCGTCGCGCGAAGAATCTGCAGCGCGCCACGTTCCTGACATATTTTCCCGCCGTAATCTGGGTCTTCTTACGAAAAATGGCTCACCAAATGATGCTACTAGGGTTTCGCAGCGACAGGTTCGATCACCAGTAACTTCTGGTCACGCCTCGCCTCAACGAAGCATTTCCGGGGAAAGGAACGGCTATCGTTACAATCGTGTCTATTCAGACCCACCAGCTGAACTGCCATTGGCTGGCGACGGATCACATGCTGTGCTGCGTGGGACCACAGACGGTGTTAATCGCGCGAGCAGTCTTCGTGATTCCAGCAGGAAAGGATCAGGTAGTACTGTTACATCAATGGGAGGGGCAAGTGCTGTGCTAAGAGTGGCGGAAAATGGAAGTATGGAGGGTGTGTTTGCTCAGGAGTCAAAAGCCGGCTTTGTTGCGGCTTTGACATGGCAGGCCAAAGTGGCGTTCTGTGTGCTTCTCCTCCTGCTGCTGGTCGTGCCAATACTGCTTCCTAATCTCGGAGCGCCTCCAAGTGCTATTCTGCTGCTGCCAGTTGTGGTTATGCTGCTACTTCTGGGCCTAGCTGTTTTGCCTTCATCTGCAGTTCCTTCGGTTAGTTCGTATGGGGATGCTGCTACTGTATGCTTATAGCTTCCCGTTGCCTTGATATAGTAGCTCTCTACTAGTAGGACTGGTTCACTTTTACTTTTTTATTACTTGACCAGGTCGTGAGTCTGGTATTTAGAAGTGCAATTGGAGTGCTGGATTTCTTCGAAATGAACTATAGCATCATATATGTTGCGTGTACACTTCCTCCCTCGTTTCAAAGCTCACCGCAACACACGGCACTCGTGGTCAATCCATCAACGACCAGGGGCCCCCATCCAACCAAAGCAACGCGCGTGGCGGACCACATTGCTCGCCTGGTTGTCAGGTTCGCTGGCAGAACTGGAGGCGACAATCCCGTCGGCCAGAAGATCTGTTCAGTGCCTTCGAACCCTTCCCCAACCCACCCCAAGCCTCTACAGCGGCTGTTTTCGTCCAATCAACCGCGCCCCTGGTCAGCATGTTCAGATTCTCAGCGGATACCATGCTAGAACTCAGGAAACCGAATCAGACCGTGACAAACCCCCATTGAAAACAGCGCGCTCCCGATCTGCTTGCAAGTTCAGATGGTGTGCAGCTGGAAGGAAGCTTTGAAGGATTCGCGTTCAGTGCTTCAGACGGTGTTTCCCTTGTTGGACAATTATTGGTGCCTCTGGATTCTGGAGCGGAGGTCCAGAGAGCCTGAGCGGGCCTTGCGGACGTTCATTCATCGCAGAGGACTGCGCATGGCGACGTCAAGCTTGCGGGACTCGCAGTGTCTTCGCTGCGAAGAGCTGGTTTTGGTTTCATTGTGCCTGCGTTTCGATTCTTGGACCGTGAAGTTGTGTCTTGGAGTGCCCTGGAGCTACTCAGCTTGCTGCTTTCGTAGTTGAGAGGAGTCTGGTTCTAGCCTTTCTGTTCACCTACCTCGCCAGTGCTAGCGATTCTTTGACGCCTTCACCCCTCGCAGTGGTTTTTGGATAGTATATTGAGTCTCCCTAACTGTTACGAGTAAGACGCGGCCAGCTTTGTCCGAGAACGTATCATCATTTTCCTCCGGGTGGTAACCTTTTCGCGTAGCTTTCGACTACTGATTGGCACGAATAAAATATGGACTCCCGGTTGTCGGAGGACCTTTCAAAGGTAATCACTGCGACATTGGAAAGATGTCGCTCTTGTCACGATTCCTTTCGTACAACTACTCTCTCGTTACGACGTCGTATGATAAACAATCCTGTGGGTTCGCTCGCAGTGGCCGCTGGATTTTCTTTGGTGCACCGACCAAGACTGGACAACGAACAACATGCCGACTGACTCCGCCATTGAGTCCGCTCTCAAGGTACTTATTACTAGCTTATCCGTCCGCATGAAACTTGTTCAGGCGAGCTCGTATGTTTTTGTGAACATGGATAAGGAATGTGTATTTCTGGTGATGCAGAGGGACGATGAGTTGCTGAAGATTCACGCGGAGTTCGTCCCAGTGATGCTCAGCCACGAGGAGTTCTGGAAACGATACTTCAGGACAGTTGACGCCATTGAACGCTACCCGGGATGGACCTCCGAACAAATGGTACGTCGTTATCTTCCACGCAATCCGTCAACTTCAAGTCCCCATTGTACGTCATCTTCTAGTATCCGAATATGTGAAAGATTCTGAGCTTTATGCGGAATTCGACTGTGCAGGAGCGGCAGATAAGGTCAGCGAGCCAGGCGCTGCAATACTCTCTGAAGAAGCACGACGTCTTGGACACTGTCGCCAGCAGCGCGCCGAGTGCTTTCCTCCTGCGAAACCTGGCAAACGCCGTCCGGTCAGTTGCTAACTTTTGTTCTTTTGTTCTTTCCCGGCAGGTAAGCTTCGATTTTTGTTTAATGATTCTGTTTTTCTCTTAACTTGCATGTTATCGATGTTTTTGCTTCTACAGTGACGCGGAACCGTACACATCCGTGAAGGAGCTAGCAGACAGTATCTACTCTCCCTCTGGCGTCTTGTTCCGTGCTGTTGAGAAGACCCTGAACGGCTCCTCGTGGCTCCCTGTTGCTACCACACCGGAAACACCCCCTGTAGAAGCTTCCCTCTCGGATTGCTCAAACGAGGACGCGGTTCGGATTCTCTTCAAATCAGGTGCCTTGACAACGAGCCATGACATTTTTTGTTATCCACCTTTTCCTGAGGAGGCTGACCAGACGTTTCTTGCAGATGTTCTTTGTTACCTGCTAGTTATTGCTCCCGTTTTCCCTCCGTCAGAAGGTATTATCCTAAGCCTGAGAAGCAGCTTTTATGATTGTCCTATCCAATCCACGCGTCTAAATCTCCTGTCCTGCACATATGTTTCCTCATCATAGATGAGAATCTGCTTGTTCCGTTCCGGTGTATTCTCTCTCATACTGCTAGCAGGGGAAATGGATGCATTCACCTGCGGCTGCTGGCGCGCCCTCACAAACTTCTCCCCCAACTCCAACCACTACTCCTCATCCAACGGCTCTCAGCTCTCCTCATCCAACGGTTCTCATCTCTCCTCATCCAACGGCTCTCCAATAAGCAACCGCGGCTGCTGCTTCCAGGACACCGACCTGGACCAGGACCGGATCTCCCTCCCTCCCCTTCGCGAGATCTCTCTCAGCAACGCATCTGGACCGTTGAACGCTCCACCTGGATCGCCATCAACGGCGTGCGGTTCACCTGCTGGGTCGTACGGAAAGGTGGTGCTGAAATCCCTGCACGGCGCTCCTGCTGGGAGCCTGGCTGTGCGACTGGGCGAGCTGATGGCGGGGATTGGCTCGCCTGAAGAGATGGCTCGCCTATGGCTTGAAGCCATGCAAGAGGTATGCGTGCGGTTAAGTCTGTGCGCATGAGGTGTGTGCGCATGAGGTGTGTGCGCATGAGGTGAGTGCGCATGAGGTGTGTGCGCATGAGGTATGTGTGGATGAGGTATGTGTGCATGAGGTATGTGTGCATGAGGTATGTGTGCATTCTTGGACTGGGATCACTGTGACGTGTAGGCCTGTTTTCAAAATCCAGAAAACAGGCTGACTTCTTCACGAGTTATGCCTTCCTGGTTGAGACAGTTTAATTTTCTGATATCTACAGTGTAATAAAAAATCTTGCCAGTTGTGTGACGATTTGACGACTTCAGGGCACTTTTTTATCTCAGAATGGTTAGACAAAACGTCCAATCACTCCCACTTCGCACCAAGGAGGCAGGTCGGAGATCGTTGGGAGGAGGCGAGCTCCATCCCACACATTTTTACCTCTGTCTTTCTCCCACCCTTGTCTAATTCCTCTTTCCCATCCCTCACCGATCCCCAACGCACGTCAGGTTCGCGATCGGTGGGAGGAGGGAATCGCCATTCCTCATGTTTTTGCAGACAGAGAGGGGCCGGACGTGGGGGTGTGTGGCGTGCTGCAGCAGTGGCAGGTGCTCAACTGCGCCGTGGCCCGGAACCAGCATAGGCATTCAGGAGCACCTTCAGCACATGAATTCCCCACTATCTAACCTCACCAAATTCACTTTTCCGTGCCTCAACACATCAATATCTACGTGCTTTGCAGGTGCGGGATCGGTGGGAAGAGGGAATCGCCATCCCACACGTGTACGCAGAGAGGGAGGGGCCAGACGTGGGGGTGTGTGGCGTGCTGCAGCAGTGGCAGGTGCTCAACTGCGCCGTGGCCAGGAAGCGGTGGCGCAAGGCACGAGTCAGCACCGACATTCAGAGGCACCTGCAGCACGCGCACCTGCAGCAGCCGGACTGCTTCCCCTTCTTTTCGGAAACGGCTGCTGGGGATTTCGGGAGGTTCGAGCCGACGCTGTGCAAGACGTGTGGGAGTTATAATCTGTGCGAAGTGCTGCTAGAAGTACCCCTGGAATCACCGCCTTGCCGGTCGCCCAAAGGCGGATCCCCCAGGCGTTCTGCTGAGGAGATCGGGTGTGTGCTGAGTGATCAGAATGACCCCTGCTCCTGGGCCTGCTTCCCAGACGCATCTGAAACAGCTGCGACAGGGAAGTTTCCTGACCCGACTGGGACCGAGACTGAGACTGGGATTCCTCCCACAGGGCGGGCAGGAGAAGAATCTGGAGGCGAGTCGGGAGGGATGCGGCTGCTGGTGACGGGGGCGCGCATGTGCGTACCAGAGGTGCAGGATGGGCCGCTGATCACCAGCATGTATCTTGCAGAGCTGGAAGAAGCGGTCATGCACACGGGCAGGTGGGCATTGAAAGGCTAGACTACTGTGGGCTGGTTGTGAGCTGTGTTCTGGGAAATTGCGTGTCTGGGAAGCTAGGCTACTCCGGGCTGTGCATGTGCGTGCCAGGGGTGCAGGGAAGGATGGGCAGCTGATGACTAGAATGTACCTGGCAGAGCTGACTTTTGAGTCGACTCAAAAGTCACCTCGCTGATGACTAGCACGTACCTGGCAGAGCTGACTTTTGAGTCGACTCAAAAGTCACCTCGCTGATGACTAGCATGTACCTGGCAGAGCTGACTTTTGAGTCGACTCAAAAGTCACCTCGCTGATGACTAGCATGTACCTGGCAGAGCTGCAAGGGGCTGCCATCCACACTGGCAGGTGTACACTCGGAGCTTGGCTCTAGCAGAGACCAATCTACAAAATAACGCTTGTCATTTTGTCTGAGTGTCTCCGTGTCTGTGTGTGCCTGTGCCTCTGTCTGTGTGCCTGTGTCTCCGTGTCTGTGTGTGCCTGTGTGTATGCCGCAACCATGCAGTCTCAACATCGCTCACAAGAGGCTTTTTTCAGACATGCAGGCATTCAAGGTACGCCTCAGAGCGCCCAGAAAAAGACAGTTTTTTCTCTTGCTTACTTTCTTTCTTTCTTTCTGTGGCACGAGTTTAACCAAGCAAGTGCAATGTCATAAGCCGCACTTATTCGTGTTACATGAGTTTCAAGTGCTTTGCTCCTGCCTGTGCAGGCTGCAAATCCGGGGTGCATACTGGAGGACTTTGTGAGATGGTACTCACCAGCTGACTGGTCCAGTGATGCTCCTTCCACCAGAATGGGAGGAGGGGGAGCAGCAGAGGGAGGAGGGGGAGGAGGAGCGGAAGGGGAAGCAGGAGGGGAGGAGAGTGGTTCCAGCGAGGAAGGCGGGTGTGAGGGAGGAAAGGGAGAGCGCAGCAAGATTGGATACCTGAGCACACGCATGTCGGGCCCAGGTATGTCATCCCTACCTTGTCTTCATCACAGGCCCAGTGGCCCACGTGCGACAGCTGTACCTTAGCACTTTCATGTCAGGGCCAGGTGCGTCGTGTCAGCCCTCGCATCTGGTCAGCACGGGGTGAGGTATCCGGGGATGGAGATTCCAAGCGCACCTTCCTTGCGCCTTTATATCGTGCAGACAGCAGGTGTGGAATGCAGGCACAGTATTGGGGAGGACACAGAGCACAGGTGGTGCTCTTTGAAAACTTCAAGAACCAACTTGTCAAGATGGTGTATCCGTGCTGGCAAATCACTCATTCAAGGAACACCAGCTTGCTATTCTGATCAGCAGGCAATAGGTGGAAGTTCCACTGGAGCAAGGACGACATGGGGAACAAGCGTTGCATCTGTGCAGTCAGTCATTCAACCCACTCGTCTATTATTGTGCATATGTTGCACCTGCCTGTTATTCTTGACATGCAGACAACAAGTGGAGACTGTATTGGAGTGAAGCCAAGCCCATGCCAGCCCTCCTGCAGCCGCCTCTCTTCGATGAGTGTGAGGCTGGGTGAGTGTTGCTCCATCTGCGCTCCTGTTGAAATGTTTGTGCGCATGTCAAATCGCCAGCCCGCATGTTCCCGCATCAATTCAATTCAACTTTGTCTCTATTATTCTCCTCCTTTCACCTTTATTTCCGTTGAGCGGCCAACAGGGCAAGGAGCCTGGAGTATCTGGAGAGCATCAGCCCATCAGAGCTCTTCATTCAGCTCTTCACCTGCCTCGTAAGCCCCCTCTCATGCATCCTGTTCTTGGTGACTTTTGAGTCGACTCAAAAGTGACTTCTGACTCAGAAGGCAAGGAGCCTGGAGCACCTGGAGAGCTCTTTATTCAGCTCTTCACCTGGAGAGCTCTTTATTCAGCTCTTCACCTGGAGAGATCTTTATTCAGCTCTTCACCTAGAGAGCTCTTTATTCGGCTCTTCACCTGGAGAGCTCTTTATTCAGCTCTTCACCTGGAGAGCTCTTTATTCAGCTCTTCACCTGGAGAGCTCTTTATTCAGCTCTTCACCTGGAGAGCTCTTTATTCAGCTCTTCACCTGGAGAGCTCTTTATTCAGCTCTTCACCTGGAGAGCTCTTTATTCAGCTCTTCACCTGGAGAGCTCTTTATTCAGCTCTTCACCTGGAGAGCTCTTTATTCGGCTCTTCACCTGGAGAGCTCTTTATTCAGCTCTTCACCTGGAGAGCTCTTTATTCAGCTCTTCACCTGGAGAGCTCTTTATTCAGCTCTTCACCTGCCTTGTAAGCTCTCTTCACGTCGCAGCTTTCACCGAAAGCTTAACAGTTCACCGAAATCGGTGACTAGAATTGCGTTATGAGACGCCCCAAAGCTTAAGAGTTCACCTGCCTTGCCTTGAAAGCTTTCTTCACATCACGGCTCCCGCTGCATGCCTCCTAGTCTGTCTAATGACTAGAAATGCGTTATGAGACGGTCCCCAAAGCTTAACTCTTTACTTCCCTTGCCTTGTAGGCCTGATTGGACGATTCTGGCCTGATTGGACGATTCTGTGAACACAGCCACCATCCTCCCTATTCTTTCTCCTTGCAACTATCCCAGGTGTCTGTGGGGTGCTCGGCAGCGCTTCAAGTGACTCCCTTCCTGCAAAACAGCAGCAGCAAGGCCTGGCTGGACCATGCTGTGAAGTTCATCTTGCAGGCGTTCTCAAAAACACCCTGCATCATCTCTGCCGTTTGAACATCCCAGGTGTCTGTGGGGTGCTCGGCAGCACTTCAAGTGACTCCCTTTGTGCGAGAGATCAGCAGCAAGGCCACATTGGAAGATTCAGTGAAGTACATCTTACATGCGTGCGGGCGCCACATGACACGGGATAGAATGCGTTACATCTGCATGGTACGTTGCAGATGACACTGAGTTGCATCTTCATGGTACCTCGTACATGACACAGGACAGAATGCGTTACATCTGCATGGTACATTGCACGTGGTACTGAGTTACACTTGGTGGGTACTTTGTGCAGGACGCATGGCAGTCACACTCTCATTATCTCACTTTCTCACTCACTCGATCACTCACTCATTCCTCCCTGGTTAAAGCCAATTCCTCGCTTTTTTGTATGCGCCTCGATGTTCACTCTTCGAAAGGGCCCATGTTGCACCTGGTGTAAGGGGTGTTGCCGCAGCGCAGTCATATATACCAATTCCTACCACTCAGCATAGCCAAATCCAGGTTTACTCACCCACTTCCTCACCCACGCAAACGCCCACTCACTCACTCAGTGCAGTCACCAATCCAATTGTTACCAGTCACCAATCCAATTGTTACCAGTCACCAATCCAATTGTCACCAGTCACCATCCCTTCTTTCCCACTCTCTCAGCACGTACAGCAGGGAGTTGCTGTACTGCCCCTTAACCGCCACTGCTGCTTATGTTCCTCTTTATCTGTTCCTTTATGTTTCCACTTGCCTCTTGGGTCGCCCAATGTTCCTCTGCAGGTCTACGAGGCGATGGAGCAAATTATCTCCGACAACTCGCAGTCCACCACAACAGTACCATCTACATCACCAGCACGTAGCGATGCTTCTTTCGGAACTAGTGGCAGGGTCCTTGGGGGTGTGGGGGGGTGTGGAAGCGTGGCCGCAGGAAGCTACTCCCCCAGCGAGTCTCCCGATCGCACCAGCACCCGCAGCAGCAGCGGCGGCAGCAGCAGGATCAGGATGAGTGGAAGTAGCAGCAGCAGCAGTGGCAGCAGCGACGGCGGTAGCAGCAGCAATGATAATCTGGAAGATCCAGAGCTCTTCAGTCAGCAAACACCCTCTGTGTGGAGCTACATGAATGACGGCTATACTGGCTTGTCGTGTGATGGTGATGGGGATGGGGATGGGGGAACTTTTGAGGCGGTTCAAAGGGATCCGGAGCTTTTGAAACAGCAGACCCCCTCTGCGTGGACCTATATGAACAACGGCTACACTGGCTTGTCATGTGATGGGGCACCAGAAGCAGATGGAGCTGTTGCTGGCGATCCTGAGAGAGGGACAAGGGGTGGGTGTGGCAGTATGCACAAAGAGTGGAGTGCTGAGTTTGGTGAGCATCGTGGTAAGCGTGGTGGGAATGGGAGAGGGGTTGGAGAGGGGGGTGGAGGAGAGGTGAAGTGTGGGTATGTTGTGGATCATAAGGGGAGTGTGTTTGGGTTTCTGAATGGAGACAGCTCAGGGCAGTACCATTGTGTGAAGAGTATTGAGGAGGAGAGGGCTCAAGCTTCCTGTGACAATTGGGCCTGTTTCTGACGATTGTCTAGTGAAGGTGACAGCTCGGGGCAGTACCAGTGTGTGAAAGGCAGTGGGGAGGAGCTGGCTAGAGCTTCTTGTGACAACTGGGCCTGCTTTTGAAGGTTGTTTAGTGAATGTGGGGAGTGTGGTGGGGATGGAGACAGCTTGGGGCACCAGTGTGTGAAGAATATTGAGGAGAGGGCTCAAGCTGTTTGTGATAACCAGGCCTGCTTTCAGTATGTGCAGCCTGAGTCTGAAAAGAGCAGTCTGGCTTGACCTTGGTGGTAAGAATACTGAGTGCTGCATAATTACCATAGTCTGATGGTGCATGCAATAAGCTCCCTGCTTCAGCTTGTGAACTAAACTCTGCTGGCTCCTGTATTGTTACATAATCACGTTTAATTAATTGTGTTTGATGACACAGCTCAAGGCATGCACGGTGCAGCCCCAATGACCAAAACAGTATTGCAACAGAAGCTCCTCAGTATTCATGCCGGTAGCTTTTTGCTTGCAAGATACAGAAGCCCCCCCGTCATATTATCTGAAGCATCTAGAAGAGCCCGAGAACGTGCAAAGCGATAACCTTACTACACAATACTATGGTCAAATTTCATGTGCAACGGGAGCAATACAAAACACTCTAGAGCCGAGATCCTCCACACTCATTCCCGCCTCCTCACACAACCTGAAAAACCCCTCCTCATCCTCCCTCGGGATTCTCCTGCGCCAGCTCATCACGAAACACGGCCGAGTCAACGCCACATCAGCGGCCGCCTGTCCCCTATAGCGCTGCTGCTTCTGCATTCGCTGCCTTGCATTTCCACGGCCCGGCTCACGTTCTTTCCCCTGCGGTTGCATTATAGGAGCAGTAGCATCAACAACCATCCCTGCTTCCTTCAAGGCAGCAGCAGCTGCATTGGGAACTGTGTCCTCTACAGCGTCTCTTGCTGCTGCTGCTTCTGCTACTTCTTCTGCTACTGCTGCTTCTTTTGCAGCTGCCAACTCACCTGCATCCATTGCTGCTCCTGCCACCACAGCAGCCTCAGAAGCAGCCAGTCCTGCCAAAAAACCACCTGCCTGTTCTCTCTCCTCTACCACACACCCTTCTTCCCCTCCTCTCACAGAGGCTTTGCCTTGTACTGTGTGGGAAGGCTTCAGAGCGCCAAAGAGGAGGAAGCGGAGGGTCTTGACGAGGTTGGGATATTCTTTCACATCTGCGATCAAGACATGAGTCACATGGCCCATGTGAATATGGAGAGACGTGAGAGGCACACACTTGTTAAGGAGCCTCAGGAGATTGTATTTACAATATGTATATGTATATATATTTTTGTTTTAATAAAATAAATAAATCTTGTGTATAGAGAAGCAAGGGCAGATCAATGCAAAGCTCATCAGAGTACACACATGATGATCTCAAACAATGAATGTGAAACTTGAGACAACCCAGGGGAAAGAATGACACCCGGATCGACACATGGAACACGCACAGAGCAGAATGTCATTAGCGATAATGAAATCCCACGATGGTTGCGCATTAGTGTGCATGAATTCATGCGTACGTGTAGTAAAAATGTATAAATGAGAAGAGACATGGGAGAAAATAACACCCGCATCTACACATACAGAGCAGAACGTCACTGGCAATGATGACATCCCACGATGGCTGGCTGATGGGAAACGGTTCTCCCCATGTGTCTGCATGCATGCATGCATTCATGCATACGTGTAGGGAAAATGGGGGAAAGTGGGGAGTTTGTGCAACTTTATTGACGTTTGGATCGACTTGACGCTGGATTGTGTAAGCTTGAGGACGGAAAGAAAATGGAAGAAAAGTAACTAGGAGATACAAAAACAGCAGTCGGTTTTGGTGCTTATGTCGAGCGTGCTTTCAATAGTTTGTGCTTACGTCGAATGTGAGGCAGTGGTTCGATGCCATTGGCCGAGCAGTTGTGGTGAATGTTGGCTGCAATGCTGGCACATTTATACTTGTCGTTTCTTTCTGTTCGAATGGCTGGTTTCAAGTTCAAGGCCTTAAACCCAACACCCTGTTGTGATTGTAACGAGTGTTGGCCAGAGCAGGTTGGCGAAAGCTTAGGATGGATCTCAAGGACACCACACAATCCGAGCACAAGCAAGCGGCCACAAGGCCAGTTCACATGCAAAGTTATAATAGCAAGGCATTACACTGATCACAACCTAGCAAAAGCAAACAAGCAGGTATAAAGACATATATCAGTGTACAACAAGAGCAAGTCAAGCAACCAGCAGGTGAGGCAGAGTCGGCACAAGCCCAAGAGCACTGCAGAAACGCTGATGATCACCAGACCCAAGGGCCTTGGTGAAGACATCAGCAGTGTTGGCCTGCGAGGCCACGTAGGAAAGGCGGAGCTGACGACGCTGCTGCAGCTCACGCGCAAGGAAGTAGCGAAGAGCAACGTGCTTCGTTCTGTGCTCCAGTCTTTGCTTGTGACACAAGGCAAGCATTGCCTTGTTGTCGACGTACAGAACTGGAGGAGAACGAGGCCGCTCCCCCAAGTCAGTCATCAGGTA